TTTTTTTTCGACCTTCATTCATTGCTCATTCTGTCAGCTAGGCTCAAGCAACGAAGCCCGACCTTTACGAATCAAGTAAGAGTAAGCTGTTACCGATGGAAAACGGAGGGCCAAAAGGTACCTCTGCCAGCGAAGAAACTGCTTTGGTCAAGGTATTGCCAGTATCGGGGATCTTGCAAATTCGTAATTGGTTCTCATTTCTAAAGTTGTACAGTTAACTTTATTTGCTGAGACGACTCAGCACATATCTTTGCTATACTGCTGAATATACCCTGCGTACATTGTTATTCTGCAATAATAGTGCGCCAATATTATGATAATTTTCTATCAAAAAAATTTCTTGCTGCGGCAGTAGAAGAGGTAAAAACTCGAAGTTCTGCCTCGTGTACCCGTCCATTCGTTTGAAACGACCACAAGAGGGTCGTTTGTATCGTGAAAAGAAAAGAGGTTAAATTTCGTGTTTTAAGTGAGCTTTGCTAGTGATATTCATCTGGTAAATTGGACTCCTTAACACAGAATAAATAACATAATATGAATAAAATAAACTATTGGCGGATATTAATTAGTTCATTCTAAGTTCGTTGTCACGCCTGTCACCTAAATGTTTTTGTTTTTTGCGAATTCATATTTGAGTCGTACTTAGCTTGAAAAAAAAAAAGAAAAGTTTTCTGGATTAAAGTGTCGAGGCCTAAAAAGTTTTGAACTGTGTTTAGTTGATTATTCGGGGCCATTGTCACCATCCCAGATATTAGACAGATGTTTCAGAAGGAAGCTCAGAATAACCTAAAGTATTTCTATTCACTTCTGTGGTAGCGGAAGTAGTAGCAATGCGATCAAACATTCCCATTTTTCTTTCTTTAGAATCGTAATGTCTAGGACAGATAATGAGGAGGAAAACGGATTATTGATTGGAGAGAAAAAGAATGTCATGTACATGGTAATTTAGGTAGATTTCAAAGTAGCAAGTGTTCTGGTAGAAGGCTTACTACCTGGCGTACACGGCGGCACGTATAGATATACATTACTTGGAACAGCATTGCCACATACGCACAGGTTATGTACAAGATTTTATCGCAGTTGTACCTTTAATTATTTTCACTTAGTTATATTCTTTCGACTTTAGTTTTCACAGAACAAATGCATAACGATGCAGAACGAGGATCGTATCCTTTTTGACTTTGCAATATAGCCAGTTGTGAGCCATAGATCATTCTCTCTTGATAGGTATACAATCGTTTTATTTTAAGCGTAATTGACCTCGTTCCGCATTACACCCCTCGGCAGAGATCCAGGCCAAGTTTTACAGTAACCGGTAACAGCGATCGATAACATACGCATCCATTGATACCAATCATAATACATCTTCGTGGGTGAGGCGCTCTCTCGATTCAGTGCGGACTTATGCCTTAATGCGTGCGACACTGCGATCCTTATCGACGCTAGTTATTTTGTAGCTCGTTAGAACATATATCCTATGAATGCCTCTGGCGTTAGCTGGATCTGATCGGACAATTTGCCAAGGCTACGGTGATCATCCGTCGGTATAATCAAGTACGTGTAATAAGTGAAAACATTCCATTACCCAAAAAAAATGCCTGCCGATCTGATTTTAAGACATATCGCAAGTAGCTGATTTCATTTATATCTCCCTTAGATTGAATATCCGATAGAATTGTAGTGATTACTAATGCGTGCCACCTAAAGCAAACGCTTACATGTTCACTCCGGATCTGAATCGTTCGGTACTCATTATCACGGCGGTCACCGAAGAGGCAATCCACTGGATAACTGAACACACTGGAGTTCCCCGCCGAAGGCCGTAGAGAGCAGGCTTCCACTACCGAACGTTAGGTCCGATGTGAAATACTACATTATATGTTGTTTTTCCATTGGTTGTTGGCTACTCAATGTAAGGCTGTTAGCGCCCTTATGGATGAATAGACGCGCGAGATGTGTGTTTCTTTATTAAGCTTAACACCGCCTAATATTCAGGCCTTGTTGTTATGGTTACGGCCGCCGCCACTAGCAAGCGAATGTTGTTCTATGCGTAAAGTTGAATAGATGATGACACAAGGCACACAATGACAGTTGTAGCCACTACCGTACCAAACGGGAAATGGACCAGAAAGTTTGTTCTCAAACGACAAGTCTTCTTCGTTCTTAACGCGAATCGAACTCACGCAAAAACTGAATGTAGAGAATATAAAAAACACGCTACCGCCTAACCCACCGCAAACGTGAACACGTTGGGTAGCCCCTTCAACTTATGTAGAGCTTTATTTGGCTTTTCTCAAAAATTACGAACATCAAACTGAGAGTAAAGTTGCAATAAAGACTGGAACTATTAGAGGGCCTTATCATTATTGTGGCTGTCTCGATTTGGACTCTAGCATTGCTGAGGTAAATAGTGTAAGAGAATTGGATTACAGGGTATGATGGGTTCTGCAAACTTCGTGACAACCTTAGGGCCCTGCTTTCTCTGTGTCCGTTAGGGGGCTGCCGAGAACATATTCAGGTTAATATGCTCGTTAATGCAGATGGACTTGTAGTGTTTCTCAGGTGTCGCTTTTACCCTTAGGTTTATCTCGTTTACCTTGTTAGTCTTTGTGTCTATGTAGATAATCTAGGGCTACAGATGAACTCCACAGGACTAAATTCCGACGTGATGCTCGATCCGCAGCATTGGACACGTTATGAGAGATTTAGAGTATGTTTACTTATTTGAGCGTGGCTTTTCCATCAGCTGCCGCATTGTTCGATAGTGGGGTAGTAGAGGCCTTTGAGAATGATCTTTATGGGAGTCAACTTTCGAGCATATGTTTGTGCTACATTGTGTTACATATAATCTCTCGTATCACAAATATCGCCACAATTTCTTAATATAGTTTAATTAAAAACAATATTTTAGTGTTAAATGCAAAACATTTATTTAACCTAAGTTTCCATACCTGTTTAAGCTACTTTTGTGTTCACCACAAATAGCTTAAAATTTTCATATTGAAATCATTTAATTTCATGTATATTATGTTATATGCTGAATTATTTACATGCAGGCAAATGAGGCCAACAAAAAGCAATTTTTCCGAAATTATATTTTCATCTTTACTGTAACCCGAATACCTCCTCAAGGTTTTCTATTATGCTACATGTACATGCCTGCATTATTTCATACTGCGTCACGTACCAAAATTGAATTTTACAATCCTTTAATAGTCCGGGCGGGCGTCTCTACATGACGTCTGCCTTGATTGTCTATTGAACAGATAGAGAAGATTTCTATTATCGAAAAGATAACTCGCTGAATCGGCCGATATCGACGTATCTCTTTGTTATCCTCGCGGCAAATGGCAAGCAAGCGCGCGCAAGCTGAATGACTAGTAGCTTACTGTTCCGTTTGAGCAATGCTTTTCGGAAAATCCTATGTAGAAACAGCGCATTTTTATGGTAAGCTAAAAAATTCTGAACATCTTGCCACTATGTGCACGTATGAAAATGCAAATAATTATAGATACACAACACAAGTTTTTTGTTAGCGAAAAGAACGCCCTTTTCTCGGGATTTCGGCTAATCTAAGATAAGTCTAAGATCAATCTAAGATAAGTGAGACCAAAAAAATGTATACTAAAATTGATAAAGCTTGGGACCGATTCGATAAGGGCGTATAGGCACATATAGTTCCTGTTACTTTTTGGTTACGTCATATTTAGTAGAAGATAATGTACAGTCGTATCATTTAAGCTAAACACGTCAATATGACAAATCAAATCTCATTCTAGCTATAAATTCATAGACCGTATAACTGCTATGTCAGGTCGACCCTAGAAGGTCACGCCCCTATCGATGCATACCACATTCAGCCACTCTGATTTTGTGTTTTATTGAGTAATGATTTCTTGAACGGAATATACCTAAATAGCTAACGTGTCTTTCGGAACGTACCTCGACGGTAAAACGAATGGTTATGAGATGGTTAATAAGATCCCTTGGGATACAACCGGACGGACGATACCTCTGCGGACGCGTCCCCCCCCCCCCCCGTAATCCACTGAAAATTCCATAACCCTAGAATTTGAATAGTATTAAATTCAACATTTAGGACTCTTGGTAAAATACTCAGTAAAATATGTGTATTTACCCTTGTTCAAGATTTGAATCACGTAAACAAGGTCCTTGTTTTGAGTCCGCTGTTCAAAAGTCAGGCTATTTCCAGCAATTTTCATGTTGACTCTGAATAACTATACTTAACTTTGATAAATCCATAAAAAATGCAACATAATGGTAACCGCGATAACATCAATCGATATAAATAAACACGTGTCAATAAGGCAGAGTTGAAATAGGCGGCAAGGTTAAATTTTTGTAGGGCTAATTTTCACTGGTGATAAGAGGCCGATTACCTAATTGTACGCCTTGTGAAATTAAGCGTCGTTTAAATTATTTTTCGGCTTTAAACAAGGACACGTTCAGGAACGAGAAATTACAAGGTTTACCTCGTCCTGCCTCCGTGTTACCATGTGCGCCGCAAGACGCAGTCATGCGAATAAGCTGCAAAAAAGAGGTATTCTGACTTGCAAAAAAAGATCCTGGAGAGTGTCTGAGTATTGCAAGTCAGGAAGACAATTGAATCACAGAGGGTTCACACTGCGCTAGCCCAAGACTGGATAGCATCGAAATTTTGGATTCAAACAAATATAAATTTGATTATAAAAAACATATCTAGTTAAATATATTCTTCTTTCATTATTAGCCTAGAGAAACGAAAGTAGAGATAAATTGGTAGACGAAACAGATTTCGGCCTAAGCGAAGTAAAGTCTTACATTAGTCACACCAGATATGTTTTCGTCATTTCCGTTTACAAACTATACCGTTACTTGAAGAATAAATGGAAAAAAATCTGAAAAAGAGCCCCTCCAGAAATGTTCCGAGTCGTGGCATACTAGAGCACATAAAAAAAACGTTTCCTTAATATCGATAAATAAATTTTTCTATACTATTTCAGGCACAATGGGCGTGCATGTTATTTCACCTATCTTCTCATCCCATATCCATCTTCTTTCTTGCAACCTTTCATTGTACAAATCTGGAGCGGATAGACTTACTGGCGCTGACAAACTTGATTAAATAACGGTTCTTTACAACAAAAACAAAGTGTACACGAGCCCGTCCTAGCTGTGATCGGTTTCCCGCTGGGTCTGTCGACAGAGGAGGTCGTCCCGGTCAAGAGCGTAACTGTACGTCGTCCCACCATATTGTTATCATAACCATTCCGTTAGCTAGTCAGGTCTAACGTAATCTATCGTGCAATCGTAAAAATCGACTTTTTAATTAACCATTATCATTTACGTATATGTATGTGTGTTTCTTACTTTCTTTCAATCGGTATCGGCAAGTTTTTGAACGGTTCTGATAGCGATGGGCATGGAGGTAAACGTGTTAAATGAGCTCCCCGGCGGAGGGGGCATTCTCACGGTGAGCACTCACCCAAACGCTACGGTGGACTCGCTCATCGGAGCCGCTTGCCAGGTACGTCGTAAAACCATATTAGCATTAACATCATGACCATTATTAAAATTATCTTTAAAATCAGCCGTTTAAAAAGCGTGTACAAAGATAAAGTGGACCATGCATTGTCGTTGTAATAGGCTGTAAATCATTTAATTCAACCGGAATAGTCAGGAATGTTCACTCATATGTCGTTGTTGCTACGAATCGCCAAAAGAACTGAACGGCGATGGACCGGTGAAGAGCGACTAAACTTCTATAAGAAACCTTTTTTACAGTCGACTTCGATTTGGCACTTACCAGATAAAAAAAAAAGTGTCGATACTTGTGCAGAAAACTGCATCTGCGATTTAATTCGTGTGCATTTTTTGCTCACAGACGCAAGGATGACGTCTACAGTGACGATTTTCTTCAAAGTAGCTATAGAGCTTAGCGTGTCACTGAAGTTGGTGTTTATAGACTTATTATTATTATGCTGTGTTAGAAAACTTTTAAAATGTTCATCTGATCATTGGTCTTGATTACTACCTCCCTAGGTTTAAATATTCCTTACTTATTTGGGTTGAAATTGTTGTGTAAAAATGGATTGATCACCACACGAATGTTTTCATCTTAGAGAAACTACGCAACAAAAAAGCTTCTGCACTATGTATGTAGGAATAGAAAAGGAAGACTTATTGTTATTATTTGACATGTTTGACGCTTTACGCTGTTGTAGTTTAGTGCTTCTTTTTAATAGTCGATGGTGAGATTGTTTACATTATCGTCCAACTAACTTTGTCTATTGGTGCTGAACTATACAGGACAAAAAGTTGTCTCACCTGCCAAGCATCGGCCTGTACACTAAAGATAATCGGTTACTCTCAACCCGAGGCTCATTGAGGGCACAAAACATCCGGCCAGGGGACACATTGTATCTTCGATATAAACGTGAGTGTATCTTGTATGTCACTAGATAAAATACTAATTGATACTCTTCACTCCAAGCTGTCGCTGAGTTACAGGTTATACCTTTAGTGTCATCTTAATTCTGGCTAAGATTCGAAACAAGACAGATGACAATGAATGCGAAAGCCATAGGAACGAATAAACCCTTGCAAAATAGGCGGACATTACTCGTTACTAGATATCTATGATAACCGATGACTTAGCCGGTTATGGATAGACCGATGGAAATGTAGGTCTGAAAGAATGATGAGAGTGATACGTTTGCGTAGTTGGCTTTTTCGCTAGACATGATCTAAACAAGTTGAATTTGACGAGTTGAGTTTAGCTTTTTGATTTTTACAAACACATAAGACAGGTACGATTGTACCGAATGCTCTTCCAATTTATCGCTATGGCGGCAATGAATTAACCTACCTTTCCTGATTTTCTATTACGTTGCAGAATCCGAAGACGAATTTTTGTACTATACAAATTGGAAGGTGTTAGCGTTGTTGTGTGGCATCACGGGGCTTTGCGGACTCGGGTTCGCTTTTGTCGTCTTCTTCTTCACCGGTGGTCAGGTGCCTTTCGTGGTAAGTGTCAACGGTATAGCACAGGGATTGGCGTCCCCTGTTGCACCGCTCGCTACCATTGTTCTTCATCCATCGAATTCATTCGCATTTGGCTGATGTGGAACAACTAGGATAATACGATCGGATAGTACCGCATAGGTATGAGCAGAAGCTAGAAAAAACAACTAGTTTTTTATATTTATCACCTTAAAACTAATTATTCCTAATTAAAAATTGGAGCTAGGGACATTTGGCTCAATCAATTCAGTTTATGTTAGAACCACTGATTCTTTCCTCTAGCTTCTATATATATATATATATATATATATATTGCCATGCTGGTTTTTTGAAATAGCCAAGGATCATTTGCAGCCAGTATATTAATCGGTCCGAGACATCATATAAAAATCATATATCTACAGGTTGGAAAACTCAAAAGCATCATCATCATCATCATAGGCAACCGAAACTCTCTATAGCGTTAGCCGTCAGGGTAACAGCAGCCTATAATGATAAACAGGCATTTACGTATAGAGTTGATTTTGTGCCTTTATCGTTTATTACGCCCACAGCGTACATGCTACACCTTGTTGTTTTCCTGTAGATATGCATTTTTGTTTTAATCGCCATTGCGCATAAATTTATAAATGCTTAATTAGAAGAAGGTACGGTTATCTAACAATGACAATGTGCTAAAAAAGATGGTATCCATTATTATCCGCGGGAGTTCACAGTATCTTTAGCCATCTGTAGCAAGTATGTCGTTTATTTTCGTTTTGATATAAGATAGTACAGTATACTAAGCATTGCCCGGTAAAGCGTAAAGATGATGCTCAATCGACCCGTTAGGTGAAAAAATGCCGTAGGATTGTTCGTAGGCGTCTCGTATTTAGATCATCTACGATAACTCGTTAAAGCTGCGCGATCCTAAATAGTCGTAAAAAATTATAATGAATTGATACTGTCCTTGGGTTCTGTCAAACGTTTCCTGGGTCTAATATGAGCCGGTAGCGAATCATCAAATTCAATATGCCAGTGCAGATACGTGCTGGAGTTCTACTTATCAATTGTTGCTATATTAGATTGTTGTTTTCTTTGTTTTTTCGGTTTCACTTGGTACGAGCTCAAACACTTTAGACAACGACAACAGCAACACGACAAGCATCTATTCATATTTATGTGTGATCGCACCGAATATTTGTATCTAACCTAAGGTCGTTTGAATCTAAGGCGTATCTTTGTGATTATTCAACAAACTGTAGCACCTCTTGCGATAGCAAGCAGCCTGTTTTAAGTTCAGTGGTAACTGGTTGGCGTTATATGAGCTTTATCATCAGTACTACAAAGTATCGTGAGTTCTTTACTTAATTGAAGTGACTTAGTTTTGGCTGCAGTAGAACGGATCGCTAAGCAGACTTTCGAAGAACAGTTGTGCCGCTAAAAAGCACCAATGGACACTGCGGAATTGCAGACGTTTCAACGACTGATTTAAGGATACATTATTGTTGCTATTGGTCAAGCTACGAGCGGCATCATTATGTACATGCATTCATGTTTACAGTCAATCATTCATCATTGCCCCTAATATTATGTCGCCTTATTTATCGAACAGATACGTGTGAGCGACGTTGCGTTCGACGCTTTCGGCCAAGCCAGAACAGCTCTGCTTTTCTCATTGTTTATTAGTATACGGCGTTTGCTACGAGCGAGAACGAATGACGGCTACGTCAATAGATTTCTGTCGCACTTAATATATATATATGCCTAGGTCTGAAGGCTTGAGAATCGTTTCTCTTCACAAATGTATAGCCATTGCTAGAAATTAGTTCGCCTGCATCCGCCAAGCCTTCGCATTCTGCTGTAATCTATTTTGTACAATTAGTGGATATTCGAAGCTCTCTGCTTTCATGGGGTGATCATTAACTGCTAGCGAATGAAAACTTCAACGCTTAACCGCTATTTCTGCTGTATGTTCGCCTACTGATTAGCTAGTCTATCTTTTGGTCGCATATGAGCGAAGAACTAACGAAGTTCTATCGAACTCCGATGCACGGGATCAGACGCGTGAGGTGAAGAGACGATGTCTTAGCTTAGGTGTTTCGTGGCAAGCTTAGTGGGTAACGTATTTGTCTGCCAATCCTAGAGACACATTGTGGTTTAGGCTTGAACTTGGGCATAGACAGACTTCGTTTCAGGGTGGGAACTAGCCGTGTGATGGAATGTCTAACGGTGACCCCGGGCGTAAAATTCGAAGCATAGAGGTGTATCATGGCAAAGCGGCTTGACGTGCCTGTAAATACTTTGATAAAGAACACGAAGGTACGGTTTGTGAATTTTCATCCTAATACATGCTTAAGAACGAAAGCAGCTCAGGAGCGTTTAATTTAATAACTAACAAATTACGCAATCCTTGAGACTCACATGCGGTCCGACCATCTCAGCATAATCTGTACCTAGATATCTGCATGTTAAATTTTAGATTTGATATATGAAGTAACGTTACACAATTAATGATCTATAGCTTCTATTGCCAACGAAAAAAGTGCATCGCTACATTTTCACCCTAGCAATACCATAAAAAGTAGTTCAAATAGGCAAGAATTTACTTGTATAGTCAGTATGCTGAGATATTTCTTCTTATTAGGATTAGTTGTTATATTTTACATTTATTACATGTTACACATTAATATAGAACAGAAGTTGCTTTGAGAATTAATGCTTCGAGTTTTTCCAGGGAAATCGATATTGACTATTGTCATTTTGAAACTCCTTCCTTAAATAAACAATTTTTATAGAATATATAGGTACTTATGTGAAATTCTATTTCAACTGCCGGTATGTTTACTTCCAGTACGGCATCGTGGTGGAACTAGGCGTGAGCTACACAGAGGCGACACTCTACCACTGGGAAGGGGCCAAAACGGGCGGGACCGGCCAGGTTCATCACGTGCGCCGAGTTGAACCAGCCTACATGCAGTCCCCGGCACTATCTGGACAAGAAGAGTCAACACCCGTGGGCAATACGCCAGCGGGAGTTAGCAGTGTTGCAGGTAGGGCATCCCGCGATATCTCAAGCCTGTTAGACACGCTCAAGGAATACGTGCCCGAAGCACAACGTCCCACGACGCCTATCTACCTACTAGCCACTGAGGGACTAAGACTTAGCAAGTAAGTTCTGGTGCTCGTATATTATCAGCATGATTCGTATGGCATTCGTAGAATCTACACCTTGACTAATGGGAAGTCGGCTAACAATGAGGTTTAGATGTTTTAAAAAATCTAGCTGCCTTTAGTGCTCTACGATTGGTGACAATATGAGACTAATGCAACGAACTGAGACACGCAAGCAAAACCGAGCAAGTTTGTGGGGTTGTGGCCTTTTTATATATGTGACGTCTCGTATTATTTCCACTATATATGGATAGCAGGGCACTATAGATGGCAAAAAATACGTCTTTGATTCACAGGGCTTCTGGTTGCTGTCTGACTGGTTCGTCTATTCCTCATATGCACGTGACCTTGCTTGAAAGAAGAAAGCGTTTAGGACTTTACCATCGGTACAGAAAGACGAAGCTGATGTAGCGCTTCATGTCTACTTGCACTGTATACAACCAGAAAAGCGCACGGCCTCCTTAAACGCTGACATACTTAGAGACAAATAACGATAGTACTAATAATAATAAAAGAGTCTAAACATTCGTTGAAGTTGTGAAGTATGTTGTGATTGAGAGAGGATGGACAACAGATTTACGGCGTAAAGTCGGCAGTGACTAAATCGTGATACAGTGGTCTCCATGGAGGAGAACGGGACAAAAGTCTGTTGGACTGCTAGGATTAGCAAGAGCGGGCTGAAGTATGAGAGGGGATGGGTGTCACGAAATCATGATGGTCAGACCCATCGTCTTACGATGATCGTGAACCTAAGCAAGCAAGCGGCGGCATACAACATATAACATAAGTATCACACATACGTTGGTGACATCACGACTGACTTTTGAAATCTTTGCGTCAAGCTATTGTTGTTGTACTTTAGTTTGCCGAGGGGAAGCAAGCGGACATGCCAGAAAAGTTTGCAATAAATTTCTAGTACCTTTCCTTATATATTTATAATGCGCAGCATATAATATGTTGACAATGAAAGTTCAGCTGCGCTATTACACTTCTTTTTACTTCTTCATGAGTTTATAGTTTTGATCAACGAAAGAATAAGCGCCCCCTAAATAGTTTTACCAAGACAGAGCAATAGCAATTAGCGTAGCAAAGCTGTTACTCAATTGCTACATGCATACCTTTGGAACGCATACAGTTGGAAGTATGTTCTCTCACTAAACAATTGTCTGTCCTAGCGATTTTTTAAATACAGCGCCAAAATATCAATTCTTCCAGATAGGTTCTTACAGGTCATGATATGTGCAGATATATGACTTTTTAAGCTCAAGAAGCGCTATGTGTGAACGGCTTAGCTACGAGGTCTTCATATGGAACTAGGACACGTGGTTTGGGTAGGCAGCCCTCCAAAAAATCTAATACATTTTGTTGACCTGCATGCAAGTTCGATTACTATGCTCCTCTGTCTTATTGATACAGTTCATGTCTTTTCGGTACTTATATATATATATATATATATATATATTTATTCAGGCGACCTACGATACCGAAGCCAAGCGAGGTGCGTTCTACCACAACGACGACGCCACGACCCCCAAGAGCTCGCGGTCGCATGCGAAGTCGGAACAAGATACAGCGTTGGGCTAATTTAATTGCCGATATGGTTACTACAATAGAAACGAGGGATCAATATATTGGTCTACATGAATCGAACGCCCTGCGCGCTCTTTCTAATGAGGCAGGGAGCAGAAAAGAGGAAAAGTTAAACATTCTGCGTTCGGAGGGCCTTGGGCGTTTTGACAAAAACTCTCAGCTAGAAAACAGTGACGACGATGACGACGACGACGACGACGACGACGACGACGACGACGACGAAGAAGAACAGGAAAAAGGTGCTGACGCCGAGACCTTATCCTTCTCGGGCGAGACTCCAGCTACTTCGCCTAGTGACATAACGGCAGCTGAATCCGAAACATCAGCGGGGATTAATTTACAAAATTATCATGGCAGATATGAGCGCGATGCAGCCCAAGGGCGAGTACGAAGAAGAGTGGGTAATCACTATGCGGGCAACAGCCAGGATGAACGGGATGGGTAGGTTGCCTTTCTCACTCTATCGTTGAGTAAACGTAGTTTCGGTAGAATCGCTTTACGGAATACTGTAGTTAGCACATAAATGTCCGGGACTATTAACACGCCACATTCAACATAACTCGAGCGTAGAGTAGAATCTAGGATAGTCAAGTACGAGCTGACGAATTCGATAGAATACTTTGTGATAGTCATCATGGCCCAATAATAATTATGACAGGTACGCCGTACTTACATGTAAATTGTTTTCTTAGTTATTGGTATTGATTTGTATTTTATTCGCCTTTCGTTTTTAGCTATTGTAAGCTATGCTTAAACGCCGTAGGTTGGTCTCTGCGCCACTCAACACCGCCTTAGAAATTTTAACCTCTTTATCCATTTTTACATTGTCATCATACATTATTCACACGTAGCAAAAAATTGTAAAGAGACTAAAGACCGAAGAAGCCAGCCGAGTGTAACATGACCATCACTAAGCGTACGGAACAAATGCATAGAGAATAGATCGAGTTACAGAACTCGTATAAATGTACCGGACAGGACATTGAATTTATTATATAAAAACTCGTATCGTATATAATAGTCGGTAAATGATTCTAAACCTGCTTTCATATATGCGTACGGGTCTGTATGGCGCGTAAAGCATACGTGTTTTAGATCAGGACCACCAGACGTAACGGACATGGCACAGAAGTCGATGTCATGCTAAGTGAAAACTATAGTAAAGTACATACCTCAACGTCGTTTATTCAGTTGTTATAAAGAATGAATCGCGTGGGCGAAGAACACTCTTAATTTTTACTCGAACTGAAAAAATGTCACGTGAAGGGGAATAAACGATTTAATTTCAAGGCATTTCATAAACGCTGTAATTCCCAGAACAGATTTGCTCTCATTAGTTCTTCTCGCATTACCTTATTAGGCATAATGAGAGGCCATCGGTTAAATATGTCTTTCTTAAATAGACAACATCTGCCTTCATATTGCGGTACTCCCTTGAAAAAAGCGGGGCAGAGTCACTGCTGTTGATTTGACAACCGATATCTACCTAAGGTGATATATGCTGTATGTAGATAGTGTTTTACGTAAAAAATTTCAGCATCGACACTACAAGGTGCTCGTTTCCGAGAGGAAACTATTAATTATTGTTTATGAGTATGTATGTATGTATATATATATATCCTTAGATTTCGCTAATACCTACTTTTCACGCTATCATACACATCGGACCAGCAGAAATTCCAGAAACGAAGCGATCTCCTTTGCTCCACGGTTTTTCACCTTTCTTCCCATTTTCCCGAACTCCGACATTTGTGCCGTTTCTGTGCCTTCGTAGCCTTGAGCCTGTATTCTCTAGGCTTTTCTTCTTTGTCTTTCTTTCTATCTTTCAATCAGTCTGTTGTCCCTGCGACCCTGGCGACGCGCGTATCGCAACAAAGTGGTCATTCACCAAGGGCATCTATGCAGTGGCTGCAGCGGTGTCAGTTTGCCTCTTTTCATATTTTTTTTATCTAGCGCCTAGACGAAGAGACCGGAAGCATCAACGGTAGATTCGGCCTTCTAGGCCAGTTGCCATGCGCAGTACGCGGTCCTAAATATCGCACCGCCTCTTTTTCTCTTACCGAGATTGCACAAAGAACGATGGTAAGCAGCAGAAAAGATAGAAGAACAGAAAGAAGCAAAGAATCATGACATTTTTGCATGAAGAATATCTGTTCGCACTGCGAAGGCGTTTTTTTGGGTTTCGCCTAGACTCAATCTAAAGTTTTTTGCGCTTCTTCTATTTCTAGCCCTAACCGTCATTAAAAAATGTTTGCTTACTTTACCTGTTTAAAATGATGCGTCATTTACTGAATGTTTTTCCGTATTATGAATGAAAAGTTCTCTGTATTAGGATGCTCATAATCAACAGAATGACCGAAATTAGCGGAGTAGGCAAAAATCTTATATGGATGAACGTTGCGTACTGAATATTGCTATCTGCTATAACAGCAATTATTATTATACAGTACGTTGTTGAACACCGTTTTAAATTTTACGTCCGGTATTAATATCAAGCATTAGCACAGATGGCGCACTGCCAGCGCGGAACGGAACGCGTCTACTTCGAACCTGAACCGCAGTGTGCCTTTCAATTTAGTAAACGTGTTACCGTACGATCACAGTGGCTGTCATCATTACGTTGATGAAAAGACTAGTAGCAATAAGAGCAGCATCAGTAATTATCGTTATATGAATCCAATGTAGTCTAAGTCTCTATAGTAACACCGAAAAGGTTTAATATGTACTCAATTCAGGAACCGTTCTTTTTTCAGTATGTCGGCCAAAAGCGACGCGGATACAGCTTTAATGGCTGTGGAGTGCGCGTTGCGAAGCTCAGGCTTTAACTTCCGTAGTGCGGGCGTCCTCAGTGGCCGAGACGAAGGCCTGTATGGCTGGCTCTCCACGAACTATCTTCTAGGGAGAATACCAACACACTCCGCTAAGGTGAAGGGCTAAATCGTTGACTAATGGAGATGAAAACAACTGTCATACATTGGCAGTTTGGATCTCGTAAACTACTACAGTATCGGTGATATGATATACAGTGCAGGGCGGGCGGGGGGGGGGGGGGGGGGGAAACAATATGGAAGCGTTTACTCTTGATAGTTGTCGCAAAGGGTCGCAAGCAGAATGAGCTAACCAGCTTGACGATTACCTGAAGTCAAACAATTATGTAAATAATTTACGTTTTGTTTTTGTATTGATATTGCTATGTCAAATAAGGGGATGATGTCCTGACTACCTGACTAAAAGAAAATGTTCGATGGCTTAGTCCATAGAATGAACAAACACTCGTACAACATAGTTTCGTTAGATCGATGATATCCTGGGGTAAATTGAAGGTAAACTGGAGTCATTTCGATGTTTGGAGCCAAGCTGAAAGCATCCGCGACCATTATCATGTTGAATGTATGCGATTAAATCTTTCTTATGATCATTACCAATGATCTTAGTATTACTGACGCTGCGACAATACGTTAACGCAGTTTTGCCGTCTACTAATCTTCCGAATCGATTTTGCAGCCTCATACAAGATCTTCTATGCTTCGAGTTTCACGTCCGCTGTTGCCGTTATGCACCCCATCAGACGGCTGGCTCCAGACACAAATGAGTCGCGTATCTATGCCCATGTTCAAAACTAGACGACAACGTGTCCCTAATATTAGCAAGCAAATAGGTTACGCCTTAGGTTATTAAGGAACACCTTAGACGAGGTCTATAACATGTCATCTCATACATCTACGGCAACCGAGCCGTCATAGATTTCATTGACTCGAGACTACACACATGCGTTATCTCTTTATCCAGAAGGTTTGTGCGCAGTTTTATCCTTCAGTGAAGTTACCTGGTACTATAATAAGGCCTAGATAACACGACCTAAATTATAATATGTCTCTAAACATTTTACTGCGTAATGATAACATTTGCAAGCAGACAGACCGTTTGTCGAAATACGAAAGCGCACTTTCTTATAGATAAAAGCCTTGCTCTTTATGAGATACGGCATTGGTTTCAAGTAGTGACATTGGCCCTCGTTATTCCCCTAAAATTTCTTTTCCAGGTAGTATTCAAATTTTAATTGCATACATAACAACTTAGCCTTGCGAGATTTGATACTATATCGTAATCACTTTGCAGTAACGCAGTAGGGTTTATGAAGAAAAACAAGTTCTACACAGATAATCGGTTTAAAAACGATCGTGCATCACTTATTTGCTATGATCTCGGTGCAAACGCTTCTTTTACACGTCTCACGAGTGAACAATGAAAGGACAATGTTGAATTCTGCAGTTGCTTTGGTTACAACAACAACATTAAGGACACGTGTTATTTGCACCTAGAAAAATTATCAAGCTTACCGGATAGATTTGATTAAACGTACAAATAAACAAGATTATGTGAAAATTATTATAATGACTACTACTTTTATTTAAAGCTTAAAATGATTACCTATTTATCATCTATATGGCTTGCATTCAAGTGCAACTTTAAACTGCTAGACAATGCTATAGACATACCCTCTATTGAAACAATATATAGACCAAACAAAGTTTTCCGTACCAAATACCTAAAAAGTGTAAGTCCATCTTTCCGACGCTTATGATGTCTAATAAGAAGGTTAATATAAAATATATATATATATATATAAGAAGAAGCTCTAATAGCTTAAGCAATTATTTCGCTCATCCCTGAGCGGTTTACTTAAGCGTACGCGTTAGTTGTACATTCGGAGAGGTGATTTAAGTTTAGAAGCGTCATATGTGTGACGTGCGACGCCATAAAGTTGTAATCAGACAAAGGCCGTTGAATTGAGGGATTGGGAGCTGAAGTTTGCTTACCTGATTATTCTTTCAGTTAACTTCACTGAAAGCGAATGTGAAGATGTGTCAGATCTTCAACAGCAAAGAAATAGAAGTACGACGAGAAATTCATCCGCCGGCATAAAGAACGCCGTAATAGGTGTTCACATGCAAATGCTAATTAGCGAGCTTGAACAGTTGCCATTTCTACTTTGCTATTTAGTGTGGCTGGTAGCAGGAAATAACTATGATAATACTATTTCAGTCTTCAGAAAAGATTAGGCTGCCGTGTTACCACCGGTCTACAGTCTGCCGCAGATCCAAGCTGTTCTCGGACGATACTAGTTCTGTCTGTGTATATTTCTGTTTAACCAGAAGCGATAGTAAATACAGTATAGATAAAAAGAAATCTCTACTCACTCATGCGGAGTCTATGACAGTTTTACTAGAAGAATGAAAAATAATTGTATTTCAAGCTTTCGCGGTCTACTTACGTATGTAGGTGTAGCTATTTTACACGTTCTTAATCAATCTTTGATTCGAAACCAATGCTGAGCCAAATTATAAGGATGCTTTTTCGCGGAAAAAAGAGCAAAAAATGCAATTTAGGGGGCTATGGAGGCCACTGAGATAATGGTGTGCTTGAGCTTTAGACGTCTCCGCTTATACACTGATGTGAGATTGCTAGGTAGAGCAGATTAAAGCAGAGCATCTAAAAAAAAAGTCGAAAAAAGCAATAACTATAGATAATAGCAAACGCAAATATTCTTATACAATTAAAAATATCAAATCATAGTAGAAGTACTGATCTAAAAATTACCAGAGCGATTTTAAGATTTCACTAGAAACATACAGAGACAGCGACGAAAATCCTGTCTAACTATTTTTATTGTAGGCCATTCATCGGTATGGAAAACGATAGTGAAGCGTTGCTGTAGTTTTTATTAATTGATTTTTTTCACCAATGCTACATTATGCAAGTAAGATCGAACTATATGCTGTGTGTTTTCACTCCTCAGAAGGGTGCCCGCGAAATCTACTCGGGTTCTTTGGCTCTCAGCGGCGCGTCTGCCCAAATTGCGTTCGAAGTTGGCGAGGTAGAATCCAATCGGCCGGGGGTCAGCCGACTGCAATTGTTCGGACGCGAGCATTTTGTCTATTCGAGGAGTTCGCTTTGCTTTGGGGTCAGTCAGGCCTACCTAAGATACCTGGCTCGGATTCTACATGATAACGTAAGTTGACGCTGTTTCTAGTGGGCGATCTTTTTCAGGTTTTCTAGGGCGTACTATTAGGCCTACGTATTCAAATGAACTAAGCAAGTTCAACGAGTGAAACTAACAACGCTTAAAGCAACTATTTTTTACTTCCATTAATAACCATTTTGTACTTTACACAAAATAGGGTAAACATAAAGTCTCACGAATAGGTGTAAAAGGACAAATGGGCCAGTCCTCCAAAGGAAACGTTTAACTGTTGAAATAATGTTCGCTTACAGAGAAGCTAATCAGCTAAGTTCAAGTCGCCGCTGTCGTCTGTGCAAATTTTGCGTAGTGCTACGTCTAAGACCGCGAATATGTGAAACACGCAAAACTTGACCTCCTTGTCAGCTAATATTATTAGTGCCCGTGTGTTGACAACATGTCTCCAGCGTTTCTGTGCTCACAAATATACAAGTATTCACAAGTGGGGCAAAGATACATATAAATACCAGCTTTTACTGCTTCATGTTTGTAGAACAACGCACCAAGCAAAAATCTTAAGGTTTACAAGTAAACCGGAGCGGTCCAAAAAAGCCGCTTAAACATCGACATTTGACCCTGGAATGTCGAAAGTTAGAAATCAATAACCGGTAATTTTTTTGCCCTGATCATAAGGCAAATATCTGTCGTTACTTCAACGCGGTTTACACAGAGACGTGGATAATAGTACATTGAAAGCAGCAAATTTTTCCAGCGGCAGGTATCTAAATCGTTCAACCTGGTTGCAGATACTGCAAAATGCCTGTCACTTTACCAAAAGACAAAATATACATATAAGCAATAGTAGCAAGAATAATAGTCCTCGTCGTGTTAGTTCTATTACCAGATAGATTAAAGAACCCGTTTCGAGCGATACGAAGCTGACAATGTAGATACTAATGAAGCTACGTACCGATGTATTGCAGAACTTGTTCACACTCACTTGATATAATATTTAGGAAAGTGGCGTTGGCTTTACAACGAATAGCAACATAGCGATATTCAGTAATCCGAAAACTAGTATATTTATAGGCATTACTCATGCTCAGTGTCCACCAGGAAATCCTGTTAAATTCGAAGGTTCTTGTTGTTATTTTGATTACGCTTGCGTAAATTATGAGGGACGTTCATGGAGTTTAGTAGGACTAAAGTTAAAGGCAACGAATTTACCCACCTCTCAGGCAAACCGAATTCAGCTGACCGTGAAAATTTCTAGAAGTAAAGAAGGAAAGGTCGCTTTTCAATAATGCCACCGTTTACCGCTGAGCTTTCCATGAATTCCGTTAAATAAATGAGAAGCCCGCAGCTCAGCAGCGTCTGGTGGAAGATCAACCCAAGACCATAGTTGCCCCAGATAGTTAGCTGCGCATCCGGAAAACGTCCTGGAAAGAAAAAGGATCTTTCTAAGTATCATAAGTACACATAAGCACCGCTGTGTTTGGTGGCAGTGATTAGCGCGATAGAAATACTAAAATCAACTGACACATAGCCGAACAGATGATATACTTTATAGTCGACTTAATACTGTATGCTTTGATCGAACAAATTTAATTGGTGGTCGAACAAAGCGGAAAAAAAGTAGCCTATTTCTAAAAGTAGGCACGCATCGTCGATCTATAAACCGCTTTGCCAAACGACAGAAGAGTTACTCATAACAAAATTATAACGATCAGCCTATAAAAAAACCTGCGAACATGCCAACCTTGCGTAAGTCATCTAAGCAATATTATTTTTATGCAGAAACAGTTCTGATGCACGTATTGACGTCGTTTTAAACTAAGACGCGCTATAATGTCCTGCTTTTTTGGGCTAGAGATTAGCCAAGCACAGCACTGGGCGGAGGTTGGACTCTATCACACATCTTTTAAAAAAGCCGTAGCGCAACTCATTTCACCGTTCGATTGATTAAAGCGTAGCTGAATGGATAACCCGTTATTATTGACCCGAAGGTGTCACAGAAAAAAAGGACAGCATTTATTACTACGCCGTGTTAATACTCTTTTTGTCAGCATCGGTGTACGGGTTGAATATAGCGCCGAACGAGGGCCTCATTTTTCAAGTTTCTGAATATGGAATAGCATCTTCTAGTTCTATAGCCAGAAATACGTTTATAGAAACGATTCAAAAGTTGCAATATTAAAGATTGCTAATATAGATAGTCTCACTTATTCATATCCTACGTTTAGGCAAATCTTTAGCATGAGTTGGTTTCAATAAAAAAAATCCCAGGCTCTTTTTGGCCTGCTAATTCAAATAGCGTTCCACTAATGATATGATAAAGTTAGTCTTCACTGAGTATACAGTGTCTGCCGTTTCCGTTCCCATTGATCGCTAGTGAATGATGTTGAGGTTGGCGCTTCAGATGCTGACAAAACCACGCAGTTTTCCTTTTGTCTTGGAAAACTCGTTAGAAGTATCTAAGGCGTATTCTTGTGTTGACATAAATACAAACATATCAGATGGGAAGTGTTTAGAAACTCACGTCGGTTTTAAGCTAAAACGGACGGTCATCTCTTAAATCTTTCAGACGTCACATTATCTACTCTTCAAAATATTTTTCCTCATTTTGGCAATGTTATTCAATTAGAATAACTGCGTACCTTCGGGGACAGCGTAAACTTCATGAACTACCAACAAACTTAAAGTTTAGGAAAAACAAAAATAGGCCTATCAATGCCCTTTTTTGGACGTATGTGCCTCACAAACTAATTTCGATACCTTCTTCCCGAATTATTGGTGCTGTAATTGTTACTTAATCACGCTTCTGAGAGGATGCCTGTAACTGTAGTTGATGTTTTTCTGAGAACGATTAGTTAGAATGCATATTGCATCCAATATAGTGGGCCTCCTGTATAATGGCCATTATTACGAATGTAACCTTTTGCAAACTCACAATGCTTATAAAAATTATAGTATAGTACATATGCTCATTTCTTCGACGCCGCTTCTTTGTTGTATTCGGTGTGAAACGGAGTCTGCCATTTCCCTCGTCACCACTATAAGGTCAGCGTGTCGTATAATCCGGAACCAAGAGAACAAAATTGTTAAACATTAATCCGAAAAAGTATAGCCAACAGTATCCTGTAACCACTGACGTCTATCGCTAGGTTGTAAGTGTCATGCATACAATGGGACAATTCAAAATAAATAATTTAGTCCATCTCTCGAACAAAACGTCGAACCATATCATTGCGACAGTGTGTGTTACGTTTCTCATCGACTGTAGGCCATTGCTCACGCGACGGTCGCCTAGTAGCACGTTACAGTTGGTCGACCAGAGAAGGTGGACAAGCCCACTTCGAATATGCACCGCTGACCCAGCACGAAAATTTGACCAATATCCTGGGCTCCGGATATACGAAACGCATGGCGTCGTTTGACGCACGTTCAACCAGCCGGTCGTCTATTTATCGCCTACATACTTTGTTAATTTAGTGCTGACCTCGCAGCCACCAGCACCATAACAATACCACACAACAGTAAGAAGGAACTTTTGGGGAGCCCAACGGTGAAACGTTTGATCGTTTTCAATTGCCTCGACGGCGCATGGACAGGTAAAAATTTCGATTCGGCACAATCTGACCAACTTTTAGCGTGTTCAATTATCATTAGTTATTTGCCAGTTGCTTTATTGGTGATCGTCAGAGCGGTAGGAAAACGAAGAGGCGCTTTTGGCACTGCCGAACGATGGGGATGAATAGCGAATGAAGATAATCGAGTAAAAAGTTCGTACTATTGAATCGTGTGTATCTGACAATGGGCTACCTGCAGCAAGTTTGCCTGCCCTGAGCAGACGCTAGTAGTACGAAGCGTATGCAATATGTTCCTGCCCCACAGTAGCATTCAAAGGCATACTTAAATACATACAATATAGCACGCCGAAAAACAGAAATTGGGGAATTACAGCTATCTACAAGCATTTGTTCGAAGGTCGTCACAGAGAAACGTGTGTATTTATGTAGGTGCACCTTTTTCAGTAAAATGCTTTTTGCTGAGCACTCGTAGCTCTAATGAAGGGAAAAGAAAGAACGTCTTTCAAAGCCGTTGAAAGTACTAGGTCACAAGAAAAGCAAACACTTTTGACTGAGCGTCTATCTATTTTTTAGATAATTTCTTTTCAATGAGTAAACTGGTACCGTTTATTTAACATACATGTGTTCCAGTCTGACCATAAGGTATATATATTTTAGTCATTCTATATGCGGATTTGACACTACCTGCATACCAAGTATTATGAAGAGTAAATATACTGAGTATCCATATATGTTGACCCCTAAGTCATCACCTGACTTTTTCGGTAGTTTAATAGCAGGTCTTATCAACTATGGATCCATTTCATGCTAATGAAGTCTAACCTTAATTTTTCTTTATAGATGGACAGACAAAATTACACGATGTCCATTGTTTTATTTTCGTACGACGTTACATTATGCTGTTGTTCGTTCGGTGGCCAGGATAGTTAGTATAGTAAAAAAGAATGCTACGAGCAATATCAAAAAGTATGGAGTAATGAAGTTGCAACACATCTAAAACATAGGATAGCTTTATTGTGTCTTGTAAAAGATGTGCTTGGATATCGCATTCGATTTATCTTCTAATGGAAATGTTCCGCTTCCCTTTGTAGCCTTACGTCCGATCATTATAATGATAGATGGACCAAGCGGCAAACCACTAAAATGAATAAATAACTTCTCAAACATTTAAAACTTTAATTTTTTATTAAATATACCAAATAATTTGAATGAAATCGTTATAGAACTCTTATCTAATAGTTGATCATTAGCCCATGGTCCCATGATGACGACATGGAAAGAAGATTAACCTTTAAAATATGGGATTAGTGGCATAAATGCAACCCGCTGTAGTTTTATTTTACTACTTTTAGTACTATTATTAGCTTGAGGTAACATGTGTACGCTTCCTGCCCATCCCACTATGACGTAATTGGACGTAAAACGGTCCCGCAAGTCCAAACCATCACCTTAAGTTGTTCTTTGGGCATCTCACAGGGCTATCGTCTTCAGCAACAGGTGCATAACACATTGAATAGTGATAGTCTCAAGTTATTTAGTAATGAAACTTATGCACGCGTTAATATCGGTATCCGCCGCATAGAATAGGGTCATATTTGCCCTATCTCTACGGTATCGTACGTTCTTATTTTGTTAGAAAGTAAATCTATATGTCATGGGTACCCCACGTTCGGTAAATTACTTAATGGAGTTTATTTAGAATGTTTAAAGTGTGGCCGTTTTTCTATTTATTTTAAGTAGGCGTTCATTCAATCTATAAATTTGATTGTGTAGTACTTAGTTTGAATTCCCAATTCTAAATACATATATATTCAATAAAAGTTTCAGTAAAATGGCGCTCAAAAGCAACGGTAACGCTTATCTTATTCGTTTGATTCGGCTGTTTCTTCTTCCGATTTAATCCCATCTTCCCTAATCTTACTCTTCTAATAAGATTTGGATAGATAATTTATCACATGTCTTTGATGCGAATTCTGAAACGAAGGAAACTCGTTTTTAAGCTCGGAAATATTGTATCTATTCTTTGCAGAAATATTCGACAGATCGGCCCGTGGAGAGCCCATGCCATCATCGAGGCCAGCTTGTAGAAATTGCGCTTGAGCGTATCTACGCGACTGAGTGCACGTACACTCCCAAGATGGACGCAGCTATTCTGCTACGGCTCAATGAGGTATAGGCCATTATCGATGTCTTCACAATTTTATTTATTTCGAGTTAATGCGCTCTGTCTGCTCAAATATCACACAGATAAACTCAACTCTTTTATCATACTTCATAAATTAGGTTCCGTATAATTACAGTACTACAATTAAATCGTCGATAGGATTCACATCGTTTGTTAGGGACTGCATTACATGTAGCTGAAAAAAGACATTATATAATAATTATTAGGTTCGGTGAAAATTTAGTATTTCTGAACTATCAATAAGAATGCCTAAATGAATTTATAAATAAAGGCTTTACTGAAAAGGATTTTCGAGATGATTAGCATCCACATAAGTTTTAATTGACTCAGTCTCGCTTCAAAAACTGCAAGCTATACATTTTAAAATATATTTGCAATTGATCTCTCTCTCTCTATGTA